TATTTACATATTTATTTATTTATTTATTATTAGATAAATAGGAAAGAAACAAACAATTATTGTTAAATTAATAATTTTGTATAATATATATCTATTTCATGGATAAATATCTATTTCATGGATAATAATAATTTTGTATAATATGTATACGTATATCTATCTATTTATCTATTTCGTGGATAATGGTTGTTCTATAATTATTGTTAAATTAATGGTTATTAGATAACATGAATAAAAATTTGCTTCTGATATCTATTTGATAAAAACTTGTATATTTTTATAATTGGTTAAATACTGGGCTGGCAAAATAAATGCAACGCTTTAGTTGAAACTTCCTTTTCTCAAAAATAAAAATATTCTTTAAAACTTTTGTGTAATTTATTCGGGCCAATCAAATTTCGTGATAAAATCAAAATATGATCGACGAAAATCATTACCAATTTGCGAATGTCCGCCATGCTTGTTTTAACGAGATCACTACCCACTTTTCTCAATACCAGTTCAATTATAATTGTCCGAGGTCCTCCCTTAATTGTGAGGAAATTGAGATTTATGAAATTATCTAATTTTATATGTTTTATTAACCCACATTTTACTATTAAATGTAAATCATTTGCTCCGATTGATAGACGAAAAAGACTTTTAGATCAAATTGAATGACATTTCAGAAAAGGAACTAGACATAGAGCCATCAACGATAAAAACAAAATTATCATTTCTTTAATTATTTCTGCACTAAGAAATGATTATTTAATGAACATTAAAACATTAAATGAAGAACTAATAATAATATTACAAATATAAAATACAAATGATGCTGAAAATAGCAGGAAAGTTAAATAAGGTCCCAGAAATTCGTCATGTAGGTTACAATTTTAATTCAATATTATCACAATTAAATACTCTTGTCACAAAGGGATTGGATTTTTTCATTGGAATCTTTACTTCCATGTCTTGAATCATACCATAAAAACATCAAAATATGAGAATAGAAGAAAGCAAATAGTATCATGACGAATATAAAGGAAAAGCTTCCTTTAATAATGATGAATTTATACATCAGATTATTCTGCGGAAGTTTTTACGTTTTTATAAAAGGTTTCTTAAAATCATTTATATATCAAATAAAAAAAATGTTTATGAGAGCAAAATATCAAAGGAATTTATTATATGGATAGAATAAATAGTATCTCTCTTTTGAAAATAATTTTCAAAAATAAATTAAAAACATAATAAATAAAATAATCTATTTTTCTAATCTTATAAATCTAAAGGTAAATTCTCATCATACCACCATGTTTTTAAAGTTCTATCATCACTACAACTAACGAATAAACTTTGCTTAGGATTCCAAATAGCATTATAAACCATGCCTGTATGACCTTTTAACTTCTGTAGTACTTCGCCCGTATCTTGATCCCAAATATATACTACTCCATCCTAATAAATCAATTATTTTATATTTAAAAAAATCATTAATAATTATCTATAATTTATAATTAACTTATATTCTCTTTTTTTTCGGCTTTTACCTCTGATCCCCCAACAATCAATGAATTATTAACAAAGCCTGATCTAATGAAATTTTTTGAAGTGTTTTGATGACCTTTTAATCTTTTGATAGGTCGAGTCTTTATTAAAAATCAGGATATATATATATATATGTATATATAGAATTATTATATTTATTAAGATTATAATAATATATAATTAATATTTGTTCATTTATAAATACCGTTCTAACATCCCATAATCTATTGGAGTTGTCTTTTGAACTGCTTAGTAGTAAAGTTCCATTGGCATTCATTTCAACTGAAGTCACCTCCCCTAAATGCGAAGAAATTGTCCTTATACACAATCCTGATACAATATCCCAAAATTTTATTGTATTATCCTTTGACCTATAAAATAAAAATGAATAATCAAAGCTTTACAAAAAAAAATTAATGATAATATAATTTAAAAAATCCCTTACCCGCTAATAATCAAATTACCTAAAGGATTAAATACTGTTTTGGATACAGACAATTGATGTCCTGTAAACATTTTTATTAATTGTCCTGTATTAACATCAAAAAATCTTATGATTTTATCATATCCTCCTGTTACAATATGATTCTTTTGAAATTAAAATAATGAATAACAAGTTAAATATATTTATTATAAATAGTTAAGAAATTTTTAATTAAGTTGATTTTACTTCTCCGGGATGAAATTTAACAGTATAAACATCTCCAGAATTTTCAGCTAACGTTGATGTACACGTATAATTATTCGTTTTCATATCCCACAACTAACAACAATTAATTATTAATACACACACACACACACACACAAATATATAAGCATGAATAATTATATAATATATATATATAATTTTTTTTAAAAACAAAATAAAAAGATAACACTAACTCTAACAGTGCCATCTCCACTGGCACTTGAAACAATAGATCCATTTTTATTGGATGAAACATCCCAAATACGCGATTCATGACCTTCTAAACTTCTAATAAATTTGGAACTTTCTGTATCCCATATCCTTAATGTGTTATCACTAAATAAATAGATAAATATACACATGTAAATTTTAATATTTATTAATGAAAAATTATATTTGTGGGCTTCAAAACTTAATTTGCATTGAATTAAGTAAATCAAATCACCTCGATCCACTAACAATCTCTCGACCTTCTTCGCCAATAAATTCCACACATTTAACATTGCCAAGATGTCCACTCAAAGTTGCACGTATGGCATTTGGTATAACGAAACTACTGTAATCTTGTAATAAACTATCGAAAGAATAATTTTTTAATACAAATGATCATAAATTAATTTTAATTATGTTTTTAATAAAATTACATACGTATTTACGCATGGAGCCACACGTGGATGATAGCGTGAAAATTCAATTTGATATGCGACGGCTTGGCGAAGTAAAGTAAGAAGTCGATTTGGTGGTACATGCACGGAACCTTTCTTGTTGAGAAATCATTTAAATACTCTGCTATTTTTTTTCCACAAATCATAATGAAGAATTTCCACGAAAGACAAAAACCATTTCATATACATAAAAACAACTAAATTTTTTAACAAATATTCATACATACCACTTTTACCGGTTTTCTCATAATTCAACATAATTTGAAATTGTTCAGCTAATTTTTCTCTAAATAAATATAGATATATAAATATACTGGTTATTAATAAAACATCTATATCAATACCATATAATATATATGTATATCACCTTTCAGGTCCAATTCCTTCCCAATTTTTGAAAGAAGGTGCGTCATAAACAGCCTTTGCTGTGAGTAAATAACATAAATCTTTAAATTCATTTGGTCTTGTTTGAAGATATTCAAGAGGCTTTAATCTTTTGTTAAGAAATGTAAATGCCTAAAACGGTAAACCTTTTATGATTAATCAATTGAATCATACAAATATTTAAGTAACAAATATTTCTACTAACCTTTTGAGTTTCCTGGTGTTCTATATACTCTAAATATTGTTGTTTATACACAGCATATAGAATACCTTTATGATTTTTCACTAAAGGTTTTGCACACAGCTTTTCTACTTCAGCCCAATCGCCATCTATTGATTTTTTGATGCAGAATTAACTTTATAAGCTAGTTCAAAAAAAGTGTATCAGTATATTTATAGGATATTTTCCTGTATTGTTTATTTATTTTTTTTTTTTGAAATTTATTCTATGATTCTTTCAATAGAGAACAACTTTCAAAAATAAAAAATAAAAAAATTCTTTTCTTTTTTTTTATAGTACCAAGTATTGCTTTCTTTATGCGTTTAAAATCTGCAGCATGTTCCTCTCTTTCGTGCCTTTTCACATTTGCCTCATCGTATATTGTCATTTTTGACGCAGAATAACCTTCATCCGAAAGATATTGAATTATCATACGAATTATATCCTAAATAAAATAAAAAAATCTATTAACGACTAGTGTCATATATGGTTTATGTAATATCTCAGCTTCTATTCATACTTCTCTAATTTTGGGATCTTCTGGATTAAAGATGTCTTCAGTAGGTCTTATACATTTTAAATGTACACCTACATGATGATTAGCCGTTGCCAAAGCTACTAGACTGTTTTAAAAATATAGATCATCAATGATATTGTACAGTGTATATTTCGATATTTCAGATCAAATGTTTAAAATATCACCTTTTCTTTCTTTTAGTATTTTCATCCAATTCATCCTGATTAATTTCTTTTACATCCTGTTGAATAGAGCTAACAGAATTTGTTTCATCATTAGATGATTGAGAATTTTTTTGTTCAGCGTTATTATCTATTTTCGTTTTTATTAACTTTATTCATGTAAAAATTATATTAAAAAATAAATATAGTTAATTATCCTGTGATAAAAAAAATCATTCATTTCATTATATCAAACAAATTTTTTTTACAGAAATTTCTTCCATTGATGAATGATAAATAACAATCTTTTTTTAAAAAAAAATTTTTATATTTTTAAATTTGGTGTAACAGATCTTATTTGATCGTAAACGAGTTTCTTTCATAAATGTATTAGTACGTTGTATGTACACGTCATAATAACAATGTCTAAAGAACATTCACTCGATTTAACAATTTTTATTTAATCCATGAATAAATAAACAAACCAACAAACAAATAAATAATGAATTTTATTATTATTTTTTATGAAAAATTTTCTTTGCCATACTGGATAATTTACTATGAGATTCTTCAGTATGTTCTTCAGAAACAGATTCACTTTTTTCACTTTTATGTACCATTTTAATTGCCATCTTGGCTGCATGTTCCACAACTTCATCTATTAAAAAAAAATCACGAATTTATACCAACAGTTTTTTCTTATATTTATTCTTAAATATATCTGTTTTATATTTACCTTTTTTCCCAACATCTTCACCCTTTGCTTTTTTCTTCTTCCATATTTTTAAACTTTCAGACATCGCCGATGCAACAAATTGACTATGAAGGTCTTTCTTATCTTTCTTGGTTTTATCACCTTTGTGATATTTCTTGAGAGCCTCAAATGCTGCTGCTGCACCAATAGATTCAGAGTCATGGCTATCATTCTAATTAAGTAAAATTATAAAAATTAAGCCGAGTATTTAAAAAGACTGGCAATATTTAATTTATTATTAAATAGAGAAGTCTTACATCTTCGTATACTTTCTTATGAGATCTTGTAAGGACTTCCATATCAAGATCATCTTTATCGTCATCGGTGATTGACTGTTGGGTCTTAGTTGCTATACTACGTAAAAGAACTATAAAACCAAAAATTATCATGAATAAAATTAAATTAAATGGGGTGAATGAGGTAAATGAGATGAAATACCTGCATCTTCTTCTGACTCTCCAAAAGTATCATTATCTAAAATATTATTCATAGGTTATTATTGGCCATTATTAACTATTAATAATTATGAATTATTAACTTGAGATAAAATACCATTCATTTTTATTATTATCTGGTGGGAAAGAATAAAAAAAAAATTTATGACGATCAAACTTCAGAAATGAGCACATTTATATAATTAAAACTGCATATTTATTTATTATTATAAAAAACCAAAATTTACAAAATAGTTTATAATAAGTAAATAATAATAATAATAGTAAAAGTAATAATATTGGTATCATACACACAAATAATACATTTAAATTAAAGTTCATCCTTATTATTATCTCGTTTTTCTACTGCTAATTTTTGTAAATGAGGACATTTAGCCACAGCATCTTCACTATTTTTACCACCTCCAGTAAGATAAGGACACTTTGTCGCATCACCATCAACATGGTGGTTATGATTTTGATCTTTGAAATGTGGGCATTTTTCAGTATAAGGACATCCAGCTTCTTGAGGTGTTGGTAATTTGCCATCATTTAACACTGCTTTTTCCTTTAACTTTTCGTAATATGGACATTTTCCAGCTGCTGGACAGTTGGTGTTATCCCAATCAATATCCTCGAATTTTTTACCAGACTCTATTGCTTGATAATATGGACATTTATTTGCCAAAGGACAACCACCAGTAGTTTCAGTTCCAAATGTTTCGGTGGTTAAAATCGAAATACAAATCAAAAAAATTAAAGCAAGAAAACTAAATTTTGAATGATGATATCTGTTAATTTTTAACATTTTAATTTTTGTATCGATATTTGAATTTTTTATTCTTAAAAATAAAATTAAAAAGACAAAAGAATTAAATTGTTCCTATATTCCTATACTCCTATATTATATATGCAACCATTTCGCGCAGTTGAGGGGAATACGTTATTCTGTTATTTAATTGATTACGTCTTTTGTCGTGTAACTCTGGAATTTTATTAAAATTTAAAAAAGCCAATCTTATTATGAATTTAGAGTATGACAACATATAATTTATAAATCAATCACATTGTTCATAAATATACGGGGGTTCATATGCAACCAGGAAAATCCTCATATAGTAATCGACCCAAAAACGTAAACTCATGTCGAGCTTCTTTACTTTGGCTTTGACTTAGTTTTTCTGGATTAATTTGTTTTGTGAATTTGGCTTTCATAGTTTTTGAGCTCGAGCTTATCATTTTCGAAGTTTGCTTTGATTTTGTGTTACTTTCCTTATTCTCATTTAAATGTCTTTCAATATGTTTTTCAAGCTAGTAACTTTAAATAAATTTTAATTGCTGATCTCTATCATTTATTATCTTTCCTCAATTGCTTAATAAAGTTAGTCCCTTACTTTTGACTCGGTCTTCTCGTGATCAAAGATTAGTTCGCAGATTATGGCAAAAAAGTCTATACAAATTATTTATTCCTAATATTTTATTAAACAATAAATATACAGGATTAATTTACATCACGGAACCTAAAAATTATAGTACCATCAGAAGTATTTTAAAAAAAGAACAAGGTAAGATTGTTTCCCATATTTTTAAAATAAGGCGATTTAAATAAAGAAGAATTACCTATGAGATTTGTCAAAAGTGAAAGCTTATCATGAGTCTAGAAAAGTGAAATAAAAAAAATTTCCAAGATTATGGATTTACAACTTTGTTCTAATCAATTATTCATTAGCATAGTATACTAGTTTTGGACAAGTAGTATCCTTAAATTCATCTCTGACAAAGGACAGGAATCGTTATAAAGATATTCTTGATGCTTGAGGTCCACAGGAGTGTCAGTATCTGAAATGTTAAATCTTTAATTTTTTCTATTTCTTTTGTTCTTCTAGCATAAATTAATGAAGGGACTGAGATAGAGGGAAATGTTGAATCTTTGAATCCAATTCAACTTCTTAAAATATACCTCTAACTAAATTAAAATTTAAATGTCAAAACATTAAAAGCTTTTGCTAGCATTATAGCAATACTAGATTTTCTTGCAAAATCCACAATATGATTTACACAATCAATATTGGTTTCTGTGTAGTTTTTTAATCGGGCCAAAGCTTGCCATCACATTTGAATTTGGTGTGTCCAGGAACCATAAAATTAAATTCAATATTTTCATAATAACAACCACAAATTACCACAGATCAATAAAACCGATTATTTTATTTTGTCTAACAACATCACAAATAATCTTCAGATGCTTTTCACCTTCTTAATTCCATTAAATGTCATGTTGAATGTACCATTAGCTACCAGTTCATTTTCATTAAGAGAATATGGACTTTGCACAGACTAAGATAATAATACACTTGCTTGTTGATCAGAATGTGGTATATATAGACATTTTGGGCTTAGTCAATACTACAATACTGCTTTATCTTACCTTTTGCATTGTATAGCTCTGATAAACATTCTTCAGCTAATTTGGTATTCTATCATAATAGTTTCTTTCTAATTTTGCTTTTGACAGATATTTAGCAAGTCCGTGGCCTCTTCCTCTTTTGCAAATCTTATAACGTAGGTTATTTCTAAAATGTTGACAGGCATCACATAAATCTGTCATTGGACTCATAATTTGCATTTGAGGGGTTAGTTGATGTTTGTTACAGCTTGTAAAAGACATCATACTCGAGAAGAAGAAAGTCCCGGTGAACAGATCTATCTATAGATAGCTTTAACTAGTAAGAATATAAGTAGTTGGGTAACTAAACCTATTTTACATTTCTTCTTCCTGGACTTGGTAATCCATGAACCTCAACATAATTTTCCAGAAAATTTTTTGTCGATCGACATTCTTATAGACGCTTGATATAGACTATTGTTTATCAAAATAAAATGCAACCAATTTCCAGAGCATATTAAGATATGTTCTTTTGACAAAATGTAATAAAAAATGACGAGATTAAAAAATACATGTCAAGTTTGCTACAAATAACCTAATAGTGATTGTATATAATCATTACTTTTAATCTTTGAGAAAAATTTAGGAAGATGTCATCGTATTAAAAAGTTAAGTAATATTAGCAAATAGTGAGCGAGACAAGTCAGCTGATTTTTTATCCAATTCATTTTTAATGGATCGATCAATTTAATTTTCGAAAACTAATAAATAATATTAATGTATAACAAACAAACACAGCATACATAAATAAATTGTTACGCGATAATTTAATTTACATTTTTAAAAAACCACTAGCAATCCTTGCTATTATTCACTTTAAAAAATGGACTCCAAATCATTAAATTAATTTAAAATTATTAACACGAAAAAAATAAAGATTTATTTAAAGTAATACAAATACAATTTTAATTTTAATATTAATATAATAATAATTATTATTATCATACAATATTTCATTCATGTTTTATTTTTATTGTTAATTTTTTAAAAAATCATTCATTAGATTTTCCATTCATTAGATTATTATTAGTTCCTTCTCACCCTCACACCTTTCAAACTTTCACACCTTTTTCCACACTTTCATTCACCTTTCTCATTCACCCATTCACATTATTTTCACATTCATCACATTTAATTTTTCATTTTTTTTAATTCATTTTTATTATCAATAAAAAAAAAAAAAAATTCTAATGTTTAAATTTGGTTTTTTATTTGAAAAAAAGAAAGAGGTATTTTAATTTTCTGTTTTTTTTTTAATGATTAAGATTGACCTTTTAAAAGTTAACAATCTGAAATATATATGTGTGTGTGTGTAGTGTAAGAATCCCACTATCGTGATTAAACCAGAATTACCGGTTTTTGAATGGCAAAAGGTTGAAGAAACAGGATTGGAAGAAACCATAACTCAAGCAACTGCAACATTAAATCAACCTTCAGATGTAAAAGTGGACAGTAGTCGTAAAAATTTAAGAGTTAATAATAACCGATCAAGGAGTAGTAGTTTAAATGCCGAATCAAGCAGAATACGTTTGATGCAAATAATTGAAGATGATGAATCTAGAAAAATATTTCGCGATTATTTGGTATCTCAATATTGTGAAGAAAATTTGGATTTTTATATGGATGTGGCAAATTATCGTGAATTTTTTTGTACTGCCGGATTACATATAAATGAAGATATGGAAGAAATTAATTCTAGAGCTGTTTATATATGGAGTGAATATTTAGATGATGATACTTCTCCAAAGTCTTTAAATGTACCACAGGATTTGGTAAATACTTGTAGACGCAAAATAGAAGCAAAATCTCACACTATTGATGTATTTGATAAATTACAAGAACATTGTTTTGGCCTAATGGTTCAAGATTCTCTGCCAAAATTTACACGTAATTCTATTATAATAGATCAATGTAATAGTGATAATGATAGTAATAATAGTAGTAGTAACAATAATTCTTCATCAAGTGTATCGTTAAATAATAATGGAAGTGCCACATTTTTGAGACCGCCATCATTTGTTAACAAATCACAAAATGTTCCAAGAAAATCTCCCTCTTCTGGCTCTCTTCGTGTAAAAATGATTTCTACTATAGTTTCATTAAAGTCAACTTCTGATTTAAGTTTAAGTACTGGAAAGATCATCACAAATTTTATTAATCACAATAACAATGTGAAATTCATCAATACTGTTGTTAATAATGACAAGAACGATGTCGATAATGGTACTGCTACATCACCTTCTCATACATTATCACCACCATTAACACCAATTTCCCCAGCATCAACTATTAATTCTATATCAACACAAGAGAATAATACTCCATCAACAGCTGCATCAACGCCAACCTCATTGACATCAGAAAAACATGAATATGATAATTTCACTCTTTCACCACCATCACCATCACCATCATCTTCAACAAACTTTACAAATAACAATGCAAGCCATCAACGAATATCAATGGCCTCAATATCTAACATCACACGTCGTATATTATCACGTAGACGTAATTCTACCAGTTCAAATTCAAGTCGATTATCCATATTCGATTCCAATAGTAGCAGTAATGATAAACTATCTGCAATGCCCGGTTCATATCCTCTTCGTTCCAATGAAAATTGTATACGAGAAAATTGTGAACTTGAAAATGAATCTACTTCAACTGATCTAGTTATATGGCAAAAGTTACGTCGTAACGTTTCAACTCCGAATTTTCAACAACGTCATTTAACTCAACATAATCTACTCTACATTCTTGATAAAAATCTTCCACCGATCCCTGTTGTTGGTACACGAAGGCGTAAAGAATTATAGAAAAAAAAAAAAAAGAAAAAAAGTGAATATTACCTAGTAGATGTTTTATTTATTAATTATTTTTACTCGGGAAGTAAATTGTAACATTTATTATAGGTAATACTATATACAGTATCTAACCATCATAATCACCACAACTAATTATCTATTTATTTGTTTACATAACTTACTATTAAACCTTTTTAATTTGTATATTTTATTGATAATTTAAAAAAGAAAAGATTAGTTTTTTTTCTTTTTAAATTATTTAAATATACAGTGTAACAAAAAATTTGAATAATGTGAAACAATCACTGCGTTAATTCTCGGAACTTTTTTTAATTACATGCTGGCTGATATCTTGATTTAAAGGATGGCCCCGGCTAATTGCAGTTCTCATCTTTAATGATGACCAATGTAAAATTTTCATCCATTCTTCAACAGGTCATTTAACAATTAAGATATTGATAAATTTATTTCAAATGACAGATTAATAAATTATATAAAATATACAGCGAGCCCTATTTCCCAAAAGGAAGGTATCAGCCGTAAAACTGGTTTATCATACTGCACCATTTGGTGACCACGTACAGTTTGTGCTATATGTGCCTCTTCTTAAAGGATGCGCTTGCGGGCTGGTGAGTAATTAAAAGGCTTGCTTCACGAATTGTAGAAAATTTTGAGTAAAAAGTCCTTGGTAAGTTTTTTTTGCCCCGTTTTCACAAATTTGGCCATGTGGCACAACATTCAATAGATAAATTGTGTAATATCATGTGATTTCAGAAGCAATGTCGAAATAAATATTTGAGAATGGAAATAGTTGTGTAATTCGTGGATGAATGAATGTGTCCCCTTATTCTAATAATATAATTGCAAAAAAAGAAGCAACAAAAATTACACAAAAACCAATTATCAGATTCAGTTAAACAATGAATAATGTAAAAAAAGCAAAGCTTTTTTGTTTTAAAATTTATTCGAGACAATTTTTTTTTTAGCAAAGTTGTTGTGACATCAAATAATTTTCCAAAATTTTTTGTTACACACTGTACATATGTAACTGTTTTTATAAATCTTCTTGTAATTCTTGAGAAATCTCATATTCATACATATCCAATGCCACTTCACAACTTTCTTTGACAACCCTTTCTTGATCCTCTTTAAATTTTTTTAATATTGGTAGGCACTCTGGTGTAGCGATTGATCCCAAGGCTTCTGCTGCCTCATGTCTAACCATATCTAGTTCATTTACATTTTCCAAAGCTTTTTTTAACGCAGTTACACTTGCTGGATTTTGCATTTGCCCAAATACAAAAGCTATTTCATGTCTAAACAATGCTGATGATTGATCTTCTAATCCCTTGGCAAGTTCTAGAACTGATTCGGTGGTGCCTAGATCTCTTAATGTAAACATGGCCTTGTATCTTTCAAATAATGGTAAATTTGTATCCATTAGGATCTTACCAAGTTCTGAGGCTGATTTAATTTTTGTGTTTGGTGGAGCAGGATCAATTGATTTATATATACTTTTTTTTGAAAGGAAAAAAATAATAATAAGTAAATTTAAATTATTTGAAAAAACTATTTTAATTATTTTACCTATTTGAAATATCGTTATCATTACTATTCTCGAATTTGATCTTTTCAATAGCCAACTCACAAGTTTCACGAACAACAACTTGTTCATCATTTAAATATTTTTGCAAAACCTCCATGGATGACAAATCCCCAATTGCACCAAGAGCCTCTGCAGCCTTTCTTGAATCATAATATTTTTAAAATTCAATATCGCTTCTTTTTTTTTTAAAAAAAAAATTTTTTTTAATCACTTACCTCATGTCTAACCATTGGATCTTCATTTTTATTAGTCAAAACTTTACAAAGAATTGGAATAGCATAGGGATTTTTGATTTGTCCCAAAACATAAGCAAGCTCATGCTTCAACAAGGTTGAATCATCACCGAAAAAAGCCTTTGAAAGTATATCGATACTTTTTTCATCTGCGATGTTTCTTAAAGTAAAGATTGCTCTAAATCTTTTATATAAAGGTGTTTTACCATCTTTATTGGTTAAAATGTTTTCAAGGTTTTCATAAACTGAGGAATTTATAATTTCTGAAGATTTAGTTATTGTTGTAAAGGATTCATTATTAGAGATTGTCATTATTTTTTTATTTTATTTTTTTTTTTTGAGTGAACACAAAAAAAAATTATTTTATTATTTATTTATTTTTATTCGTTACAATTTTTTCTTTCCTTTTCCTTTTTTTTTAAATTAACTAACCAAACCAGATTAAATTAAATTAGATAATAAATATAAAATAAAATAAATATAACAATAATAATAATAAATAATAATAATAATAATAATAGTAATTAAATTAATGATTATCTGTTATTATTATTTTTTGTTGTAAAGATAATATAATGAACGCAAATCTAAACTACTCCAAGCCAAACCCAAACACATATTAAGCATTATCTTCAGGCATTCGTACTTGATCTGCTTTAATATTATAATTATTTATTTGTTGTTTTTTTCTTCTGGTGAAAAATAGAGCCGCTAGCAATAAGACTATGATAAAGAACGCAACAAGTGATACTGCAATTATTGGCCCAACATTTGTTTGGACGGTTGTACCGGGTACATCACTTGAATCAGAGTTTTGAGCTGGTGCGGTTTGTGCTGAATCTGGAGCAGCTGGTACGGTTTGTGTTGAATTTGGGTCGGCTGGTGAGGTTTGAGTTGAATTTGGATCAGCATTTTGAACTGGTGTTTCGGTTGCTGATGGTGGTGTTGATGTGGGGGACACTACCGTTGTTGAAGCCTTTTTTTTTGAAGAAGTTGGAGCTGGAGCTAGAGTTGGAGTTGGTGTTGGAGTTGAACTTGAAGTTATAGGATCTACAGAGACTGGAACTTGTGTCGATATTAAGGTTTTGGTGACAGTGACGGTGGCAGGCATCGATTGTGAAGGTGGCATAGGATCTTCTGGTGATTCTGATGGCATCGGTTTCATTTTACGTTTATCTACGCCCTGCGCAGAGACTAATTTATTAAAATTTTGTTAGTACTATACACACACGCACGCACATTTATATATATATATATACGAGTAAATATATTTTACCTAAACTGAATGCTAATACAGCCCAAAGGATCAACCTTAGAGTAGTATAGATTAGCGTTATTTTCATTTTTAAATAATATATTTATGTATAAAAAAAGGACTTGAGAGAAGGTCAAAGCAAATTTATGAAAAAGTATTTATTATATTAATTAATTGATTAATTAATAAAAAAAAAAAGGAAAGAGGAAAGAAATGAAATGGGCGTAAAGTTGAATTAATTCAAAAACCAAAACTATATATACATTTTTTTTTGATAATTAAAAACGTGGCATAAAAAAAATGATCCTTTTTTTTGAAAAAAATGAAATCGTGCGGTATATTGTAAGGTCGGTCAATTGATTTCCAAAATTAGAAAGTAAAAAATATAAACAATATTAATTTTTATTTTTTATTTTTAAAGAATGCGCTTCAAACGTTCAAACAAAGAACTTGAAACAAATAAATTCGAATATTGTTTGTATATATTAACCAAATCAGTGTAACAAAATCTCTAATGTTATATTGTAATTATGGAAATTAAGATATTTTTAAATCAACAATATTACATCATCGATATACAAATTTCAACCAATCCCATAATTTCTTTTACAAACGAATCTAATACATAAGCACTCAACAAATTTAAATTGATTTTTTTCCTTACCGTCTTTATCGAGGGGGCATGATATTCTCAATGAGGTAACATCCGAGAGTTTGTCTGCCAATACCCACATCAACATTTTACGATGCTTTACTCTAAGCATCAATTTTTGGAAAAAAAATTTCCAAGTAGTTGTAATAAAAGGTTGAACATATTAATATATAGTAAAATGAGGTTGAAGTCACTTACTTGGTTACGGAAATCGCTGCGCCTCTGTGCCAATTTTTTAATATTAATATTAATAGAAAATTAACTGGGTTTTGGGGGGGAAGTGAATTGTTGGTATTGTTCAAAAAACTGTATTAAATATCCGTAAAAAGCGAATTAGAATATTAATATCATTTTTGTCGTAGTACGAATTTATAAATATGGCAATGACGATATTATCCGTTGTATTGGATAATAATAAATAAAAAAATATCGTTGTGTATGACAATAGCAATAGTGTAAAATGGACTCGACGGCGAAATTCCGCTAATTTACAATTTTCAGATATGGATATTTTTATAGAATGCACTTCAATACTATCTGCAACTCATCATCATCACAAAGAACATTTTGAACTTTGTAAATTAAACATAAACAAAATTGTTTTCATCTTCATTTGTTATTATTTTATTTCAATTGAAAAAAAAACCCCAAATTAGTAATAAAAATTAATAACCATAAAGAGAAAGGATTCCGTTTTGTTGCTTTTTTTTTGTTATACGTATTTTGAGTGCAAACTCAACCGACAAATTATCACGACCTCCACCATCACCGGGACCAGCGGCGATGAAAGCCGCCAGGAAGCGGCCAGCATCGGCCATATTGTGTCGATCAATGAACCAACAGTTATTGGGTTATAATTATTACCATGCAGGGTAATTAAAGGATTTACATCTTCAAAAAAAGCTTAGTAACAATAATGAATTAATTGCAGATTGTTTAGTGGCGGGAAAATATTTCTTCCCCATTTTTATTTTTTTATTAACGTTTTAAAGCATTTGAGGGAGTGCTTATGATCGTGATCACGATCACTATCAAGATAAGGATAAGGATAATATAGATAAAGATAATAAATGAGTACAAATAATAAGAAAAAGAAGCCGATAATGAAAAATGTTCAAAGGTTTATATAAACGCAATCAATTTTCTAAACCATTTTTTCCTTTCGAAATTTTCCAGAGATCGTCAAATATAAACAGTTATAAGTATATAAGTATATTGCACTGATTTAATTGAGTTCATGTTTTTTATAACAGTCAAATATAAACAAAGCACATATGTATATTTTACAATAAATTAGGCCAGAGATTATAAATAACGCATAGACGGACATCTTTCCAGCGTAAAAAAAAAAAAGAAACACGCAAACAACGAATGAAACCATATTGTTAAAGAAAAAAAATTTACTACGAGTAAAGATCTTCATAGATCATTGGTTTTTTTTTCTATATAATGAACCGTCGACCCTCACTCTCAACTCTCTTCTCTTTCTCCTCTCTTTCTCTCTCCCTTTTTTTTCTATCGCCTCTCAAGAAGATTGTTTAAAAAATCGAACATTTTCCATATGACAGTTTTTGCTAAATACAGAGTTCAACAAAAAAAAATTAAAATATAAAAAGAAACAATTGGCGATTTTAGAGAGTGACATGGCAAGTTTTCGATTTTTTCTTTACTATATATTAATAAAAAAAAAGTTTGGTTTGGATACAAAATTCTAATTGGTTAATTTGGATTTCATGCATGCGAATTTCCATTTTGAGAATATTAGTAAATTTAAAAAAGTGTTTATTTTAAAAAATAGTATTAAATATCCTGAACAATTTTTTCAGGAGGTAAATTTTCATAAGCGATTCGATAAATTGTGGTAAATAATTTAAATCTAAAAGGTGACAAAAATTAGAATTGGTTTTAAATGATTACAATAAGTAAAATTATTCATAGTCATAACTTACTCGCTTTCCAATTTTTTACGACTCAATACCATGTATAATTCTTTTGCAGTCAAAGTTCCTTGTAATTTTTGTCCATTCAACAATTCATTTTCTAATTCTTCGAATGACTATATATTGATCGATAATTAAGAATCAATAAATCTTTTGTTTGTTCATTCAGTCATGCAAATAATTAATCAATCATCACTCAAGGAAAAAAAAATCTCACCTTCCCAGTTAAAACATGAGCCTCAGCAACTTTCCTATTCCTGCCTCCATAACAAGTAGCAATCACATCGGCAATTCCACAACTCTCAAAAAACGTTTCTTCTTTAACACCATGATAAAACATTTGAATAAACTTCTTCATCTCCAAAAATCCCACTCTAATTATCGCCGCCTTTGCATTCTCGCCCATTTTCAATCCATCAACTATTCCTGCTCCTATCGCGATAACATTTTTCAATGCTCCACATAATTCCACACCGGTAACATCCTCAATTATACCAACTCGAAAATAATCTGTTTCAAATATTTTTTGAAATAGTTGCCCTTCCTCAAGAACGGAACACCCAATTGTTGTCTCTGAAAAATTCTGTGCAGCTATTTCATTAGCAATATTGGCTCCACTCAACGTACAAACTGGTATACAAAGTTTGTCTTTAATTGTCTCTGATACTGGCAGAATACCGGTTTCTGATACGTCAAATCCTTTGATTAAAGTTATTGCCTTGGCTTTAGGATGTACTCTGCCTCGAATCCGCATACATACTTCGTGAACAAACTATATTGATATTGGGAGGAGTAATGAACGTAAGCATAAATATAATCGTGTAAATATATATTCACTTACAAAAATAATTCAATATTTGCCTGATGAGGAATCACAAAGATTAAAACCGTAGCATTATCAATTGTGTCCAATAATTCGGGTTTTGCTACTACATTTTCAGGAATTTTATAATCAGGAAGATATTTAACATTCACGTGATCTTCATTAATTATCTCTGTCAATTTTCTGCCTTGGATTATCTCTTCATATACCCACATTCTAACTTGTGAATCAAATCCTTTATGTCTCTTTACATTGTCCCCTACTATTCTGGCAATTACCGTTCCCCTGTATTTTGGTAAATGGTTGTGATGATGGTGGTTATGGAATGATGGAGTAAATAAAATTATTAATTTATTTTGTAAATAAATTAAAATCAATTAAATACAAGGTAAAATTTTTTTACCAATTTCCTGATCCAATTATTGCAACTCTTTCTCCTTCACTAATCATTCTAGATTCTTTTCTTCCGTTCATTTTTGAATTATTTCTATTATGTTTATGTGTGGAAATAAATTTAAATTGACAACTATGGAAATTTTTTTTTAGTTTAATTATTACTGAAGATGATGATAATGTTGTTGATGATGATGTAAAATTTGATTTTTTTAAAAAAACTTGATTATTGATTATTTTAATTAGCGTTGTAAAATTATTATTATTATTATTATTATAAAAATTATATTTCATATTTTTTATCATCATGAGAATTTATATTTTTTTTTTCTTCCTTTACTAATCTATTTTTTATAATATTAATTTGTAATACGATTTTGGTTAATATAAAATTTCACATGTTCATGTAATACAAAATACCTTTTTTCGTGGGAAATAAAGATCGATGATATGTGTCAATCTGCAAGTAATTTCCAACCTTTCATTCCCAAAATTTATATTAAATGTATTATAAAAAAGTTGGACAGGCATATGTTAATAACCGAGTAATAAGAAAAAAAATGTTAATTTCTCTTTTATCTATCTATATACTCGATCAACTTTGATTGTTCGATAGAAATAGTAGACACAATCGACATCCAAAGAAAATATTTTTATAAATAAATAAATGTTATTTATTTGTTTATCGTATTTTATCATGCACGTCATTATTAGTTTGCAGGTTCGTCCGTCCATTCTTTTTCATAACAATAATAAAAACAATCAATAACGATAATATCATGAGTATTCCCGCTGACAATATCATTTTTTTCTCATGGCATATAGGTTTCCCCGGCTTTCGATGATAGAATCGTTATTGATTACTCAATACGGATAATAACCTGCAGCACTTTCAAAATTACAATTAATTTAACAATTTTTGCTATTAAATAAATAAAGAGGCTTCGGCTTGAGGACAAGTTTCGAGTTGATAAATCTATATATATCAAGTCAAACCATTCGCTGGAAAAGACATATTTGGTCTGTTCCACCCAATTTATTTTATTGTCATCAAAAAGTTTAGATACTTATTTCCTACTTATTTTTACAAAACATACTTAAATCAAAAAAGATGATCCACTAATTATTTGCAAAATATGTATGAATATACTTATTTTACAATTAAAACATTCTTATTTTTACAGTAATAGGAATGTAGGTAGATATCCTAATTATATACTTAAAATATACCTCTGAATAATTTTCATAATTCTTAAAACATACTTATTTTCTTGATTTTGTAATTTACTTTATATATCCTTAAACATACTTGAATTTGAAATACAATTAAATAAAAATTACTCTTTTTGCATCCCAAAGAATTGACCAATCCAATTTCATTTCTGACTGATAAATGAATGTAGATGACTAACAAGATTAAAATTTCGTATTGCAAAGTGGGCAAAAAAAAATTTTTTTTAATCAATTAATTCATTATTAATTAATAATATTTTTTAGACCGTTTGATGTAAAAGATTTAATCGTCACAACATCTTTATCCACCTTCAGGCAATCAAAATCAAATGTAAGGATGCCCAATTGGTCCCAAGAAGGAGCTCTGCTCATCGCCACATAGATCTGACCTGGGGCAAACATATTTTCATCAATCGTTAGAATCGCATGTGGCAATGTCACGCCTTGAGTCTTGTGAGTTGTCAAGGAAAATGCATTCTGCAATGGGAATTGGCACCTCGAGGCATGTTTATTTCAAAATTTATAGTGATTTTTTGAACGTTCATTTTAATAATGTTACCATTAATTGGAAAAGTAATTTCTACATCATCATCATCTATAACTTTAGTGATCACACACCTTCCATTGCGGACGCCATGTTCAAACAGCTTACCAACGAACTCACACTTTAATATTTTAATATTAACTTTTCGTTATCATATAACACTATCTGTATCAAAAAAAAATCATCAATCGTAAATTTTAGCAATAATTTAAAAGATATTGTTTATTGTTAAAAAAACAGATTCTGTTTGATAATTATAAATATAATAATAATAATATTCAAATAACTTTAGTTACGCAGCTACGGGACAATTTAAGAAACCGTTTTTCGGATGTTGACGTATTTTTTATTTTACCAATAAAAATTAATAATTTTGGTTACGCAGCTGTAGTTTTTATTTTGCCCGAAGTAATAATTTTGGTTGCGCAGCTGTGTAATGTTTCTCGGATTTTGTTTGACGCGAATCGGTTTATCAGTCCCGTATTATTTTAATAATTGTCTTTTGTTCCAAGTATATATTCCTCAAAAATAAACAATTGAAAAAAAGTAATATTTTAATCATGATGATAAATAATAATTGTAATTGTCAGAATTTAATGTATTTACCAAAAAAGTAATTAATACCCAAGTCACATGAGCTATTCCTAAAAAGTCTTGGTCGATTTCTCTGACAAAAAAAATTAGTAATATTAACAACAAATATAATAATATCTATTATTTAATATAATATTAATAATAAATATCTATTATTTACAACAAAATATCAAAATCTTATTTATTATTATGTATCATCCCAATTTGATAGATGATCAAGGGTCTGGGTCACTTTACCGACAAGACTGTGTTATTAGTTAATGATTTGTAGGGCAAGGTCAGTACTCGATCAACAGTTGAGTTAACTTGTCTGTAAAAACCCAAACCTTTAGCTTCTACATAGAGTTATCCAGGTCTTCACATAGTCCTTGGCAAATTGTTAACACAATGCCTGTTGGTAAAGCGTCCTGTTTGTAAAACGTCCTGTTGGTAAAGTATCCTGTTGGTAAAGTATCTGTGTCGGTAGTGTCTTGTTGGTAAAAGTGGTTGTCGGTAAAGTGTCCTCCGGTAAAGTGGTTGTCGGTAAAGTGGACGGGACCCATGATCAACAATCAACATATTTTTTATTCGGCTATATAATAAACCCTTTTTTCGAATAAAAAAAATTGGTGGAGCGTAAGTTCATTGCAATATCATTGCAAACAACAGGCAAAGCGCCTGCAATTCAAAGAATTCTTTTTTTAATAAACAGAATATTTGCCGTACGACTCAAAATTTGCTTAATAAGATGAAAACGTTGATCTCACCAAAAACCAAATTAATTTGCAAAATCGACAAAAAATTGCGAAATTTAGAAATGGCAAATTTTCTTTTATCTGTTAAATTAAAAAATAAATAATAATTAAAATAACCAATGATTTATTTGATTAATTACACAACAAGGGTATTAAGGTGAGGAAGACCAGGGTGCGAAATCCTAGTATAAAATTCCGGGCATTAGAATGTCCAGTAAAAATTTTGGAAGTAGGCATTTTCCAATTACACATTTTTAATATTAATCTTAATACAAATTATTTATTCGAATTATTCGTTTTATTCGTTTTGGTTTGCTATTATTATGCACGCGACCATCAAGGTAAGTAATAATATATTACTAATAACTAGATATAGATAATAAAACAATGAGATGCAGCATAAACAACAATTAATAATCAACATATAGAAAAAAGATACCGATTATGAAATGATTATGAAACGAACAAAGAGAAAGTAGTGAAGAGCAAGCAAGTAATCAGCAATTAAAGAATGATATTGCTAAATTGAAACAGCAATTGAAACATTTAAATGAGAATAAAGAAAATGTCCCAAAATGAAATTATTATTCAAGTCAGACAAGATGGATAAAATCGGAAACAACTAAGCCAAGGCCAAAAGAAGAGCAAAAATTTCATTTTGTCAACTCATTGAAATCACGTGATTTGGTACGTGTAACATCAGATATGAAAAAGCAGCATGGTGGAAATTCGATTATATCAAAATATGATGATCATTTGTGATATATGAATTTATATTGTACTACATTTAATTTCAATTGTTTTAAAGTACTAATGTGCGCAAACATGCATAAAAACTCTAAATACTCGCAAAAAAAAATATTTATGATTATTTTCTTTCCTTATGTTCTTTCATTTAAAAAAAGGAGATATGTTAAGATACAATTTCATTGCATGGGTTACATATGAATATACAAGGCAAAAAAATTTTTATTATTAAGGTAGATATTATTATTATACAAGATGAATTGTTGTTATTATTATTATATAAAATAAATAATGAATAGAATAAAATATGAATTATATAATAAAAAAATAAGTTTTATAAATATTAAGATTTCCTAACTAATAATGATGAAAAGGAAGAGATGATGAAGGCGGGACATTTCACCTACACTGTAAAATCCCAAGTACTGTAGAAGAGGAAAAAAGGGATATTATCCAAATACACCATAGAAATTAATTAATGAAAATGTAAATATAGAAAACAAATATAACATAATATTAAAAATTAAGTATATACTAAATAAATAAATTAATCATAATATAAATCACATACAAACAAAAGATAATTCATATTTTATTTATTTTAGGCATGACCACATACTAATACACTATGAAAAATAAAAATATGCACAGATGAAATTGAAAAATGTATTTTTCAAAATCAAATGAATTAAAATTATTTCAAGAACTTGTTCATTCTATGGATCTTTGGATGTTTTATATTGGCTTTTATTTGACTATATTTAAAAATAAAGTTCAATGCATTCATTTATTTTGTGGAATTCTTTAAACACATACAGTTCACCCTCTCTATAACGGGTTTTGCTCTATAATAGACTGAAAATTTGGGTCTAATTAAAATTATCTATCTATCTCATATGGGGCATGCTGCAACAAAACCAGACAAAGTGAATATTGGTATTACCAAGAATTTCAGGGATCAAAATTTAGTAATGTGATTATAATTAACAGTTTTTATAATATCCCATTTGTGATATATAAGATTACCTCTAGATAAAAATAGTGTAGGACTGACAAGTCCAAGACATAACCTGGTACGAAGCGTGTAATGTAAATTAATTTCATGTGCCATTAATTTTGTTGCACAATTAGATGTCATGTGAAGACGCGAAATTACAAAGTTATCTCGAAACTTATTTTTAATATTACATATCAATCATATTTGTTCATTTACATTTTAGTATATAACTTTTATTTATAATAATAAATGTAAATAATAATAAATGTAAATAATAATAAATGAATTAATAAACATTTAAGTAATACCTCCACGAACAGATTTTTCTTTTTCAACTGTTAAATTATTTGTTCATATAGATTTGGAATATTGAGAAATTTTGGGAATCATTTGTAAAAGTTCGGCAAAATCAAAATCAGTCCGGATTTGTCGTGTTATTCCAAATATATGTTCATATGCTTCGGAACCATGCATCCAAGGTAATAAAGGAAATTCGGTATAAAATTCTCTATGTGATTTAACAAGAAGTACTATGGATTCAGAAAGAGAATAAAAATAGAAAAGCTTTGAGTAGCCATAAAATTTTGTTGGATAGACATGAAATCGGGATAATTTCATGTCATAGTTTCGATATGGTAACGCCAAAGTCGTAAAAAAAAATACGCCGTCATAAACATTCTTATTCGTTCAATAGGACATATATCCCTATTTAAATAAGTTAGTCTAAAAAATGATATAAATAAATATAAAAAACCCTCGTATCCTTTCTTTATTTCTCCATTATTGTTTAAACGTTGTTTTAAATTTTAATAACAAAAGGTTCGATATGCTGCTCCATCATCTTGTCTATCAAGTTTAATTACATCACCCTTATATAATACTGAAGTTGGCGAATTAACTAATTTTAGAAAATTGCTATATATCTTCCAAATGTTAAAACTCGTGCACCAGACATCACTACATTACGTGCTGTTTTTTTTTTTTTTTTTGCATGTTTAGGATCTTGAACTCGAATTATTGGACCAACATTGGGGAAAATTGGACAACTAAAATTAATATTCAATAATCTATCTTTTATTCCTACTTTATCTGTTGTTTGCATATCCATAATAATTGATTGTGCATGAAACTCTGATGCTGCACCATCTGAACCGATTGAAAGTATAGAAATATTTAATTGTGGTGCTATTTCTAAAATTAATTTTTTATGGGGATTTGCAATTGTTTCAGAAGGATCTTTCCATTATTTGGTATTAGAGCAACTATGAAAGGCGGAGGTTTTGGTAATGGCACCTAATGATAATTTTTAAAAATTTTTTTAATATTAAATAAAAAAAATTATAAATACAGTGTTGTTAATATCACCTGTAAAACATAAACTCGAATATAGTTGGCAATTGCTTTTTTATCTTGGAATATCATTATATACGTTTACTTTTGTTGTTTCTTTAGATAAAGTTGAACCAATAATACATCCAAGTTGGGAAGAGTGACGCAAACTAGGTTTTAATTTGATATTATCGCTCATAGCCGCAATTGGTCCTTTATAATTAATCTTATCCAAAAATCTTGTAAATCGTGTAACAAAGATCTGGATTTGTAAGAATATCATTCGTAATTTTCTAAATTTAAAATAGTTATCTAAAAAATAATAATTTTATTAATTAATTTACCTTATATTTTGAATATTACGGCCAGCCAAATTTTGCCTAAATAAATCTAATGCACGAGGACATATAGTTTCAAGTACTATCAAAAAATTAGTAACCTCCTCGAAATATTGAAGATTTTGTGTACCCTTATTTTTTTTCTTTTCGATCTACTATTTGACTCATAATACTATATAACCTTTCTGAATTATTAAATGCTCCTTTTAAACCATTATTTGCTATAGATTTGTATTTGTTGAAACATTATTGTTCTTAATAATATACCAAATAGTTAATAATCTATATTTTTTAAGTATTGGAGTAAACTTTAAATTTTTTTTCATCAGGTTTTTTAACTCTCACACGATTCACCAGTTTTTCATTTGATCTTAACTGCTGACATTTCATACAAAGATTGTCATTTGTATATTCACCATTACAATTTCTCGCACGAACACAATTTCCTATAAACAAATAATAATATTAATATACATAAATTAAAAATAAATATTTATAACAATAATAAAATTTTAACCTTTATCAATTTTCCACTCTGCTTCGGCGTAAATCTGTCTATTTAATTTTCTTTTTTGAGCTGCATTTAATTTCTTTAATGAAAATTTTTCTGCAAATAATGAAGGAAATAAGCAAGTCTTTTCCAATTATTTCCATATGTCGTGCACCACCAACTTGTGCAGGTGTACGTTCAATATAATATCTAATTTTTTGAGAACGTAACCCAGGACAATGAATTGAATTCTCTTTTTTGATTTTCCCATATTTGGTTGATCTTCGTCTTCACTTGATAAAATATCTTCTGAATTATTATCATTTTCATCATTAGAATCTATTGTAATTATAACATTATTATCCATATTATCACAAATATCACTGCCACATTCTTCTTCAGAGCTAGTATTATCTTCATTAGAAATAGATGAATAAAAAAACAATGAATTGATTGTTGTCTTGAATTACAATACCTTCAAAATCATAAACTGCTACACATTTTTATTTATAACTATCAAAATCAATAGACATTAAGCAAACTTAATTATTACTTTTGTAAAATATACATGATTCTAAGCAACTATAATGTTATAACCTATAAATTTTTTAATAAGATGGCTATGCAAATGTCAAATATGACATATATATATATTATTTGGGGTCCTGAAATAATAAATAATTAGAAAATAGATAAATTTATAGAAAATAAAAAATTTTTATATCAAGTTATCTTTATGATTCTTTGACTTACAATTATCAATTTCTCTAACTACATATACATTGACAAATAAAGATCAAATCACCAAATATGTTACTTATAACTCAAATTGAAGCAATCCATGGGTGTTGGAGTGCTGCATCTGCTTCTAACACCTTTTTCTTCAATTTATTTATAAAGTCTTGTCCATCATTGGAGAACATCATATTAAGCCCTTCCAATAACCTGCCTAATTGATACATGTCTGAAAGGGTTGTGTAGACATTATCCTCATCACATGTGCCATCATCCCAGTCTGTCAATAAGATGTCAAATTTTTCATTTGCTTTACCTCCATACTCAAAATCGATAAGAACGTATTCATAGCCTTTAGAATTATTTGAATCGTAAACAATATTTGATAAACGAATATCACGATGGACATAACCACATTGATGAAGTCTCTTCAGTCCAGTGAGCAAACTGCATGTCATCACTTGTGTTGTTTGCTCATCTTTTGGTGGGCATTCAAGGCCACGTGTCTTCAGTTTGATTATATATTTCCCTGGTCTTCTCCGACCTTTTCTAAAGATTGGTCCTTCCAAGACCTGAACAAGTCCATAGTGACCTTTGGCAAGCTCATACATATGCTTTAATGTATCAACACAGTCATCCTCCTCAATTCCATAGAGCTCACTGTCCAAAACAATTTTCTGGACATACCCTTCAAAGAAAGTAATTGTAGAATGTCTGAGTTGCAGTGGCTTACCAAGAGGGATTACTTTAGCAGGGAAGGCATCCTTGGTGGTCATTGTTTTAAAGATACGAGCAATATTGATGATTATCCTGAGAGTTGTGAATCGAGCATTGAGATCATCCATGTAGAGTTGTGTGGACAGTGGAACTAACATCTTGCTGGGTCCATCAATTGCAAAAAAGCAAAAAATATCCTTTGCTACAGCATAACAAATTAAAAATTTAATATTACCGAAATATAATGGATCAAGCTTGCTAAACTTGGATATGAGCTCTTCTTTTGCAGTATCAAACTTGTTTCGTGCAGCCTTCTCTTCATTTTTTATCACTAGTACATCATTAATATATCCAAGAAGATCAGGTCTAGCATTTTTTGTTGTTGCTGGAGTGCTTTTTGCATTCGTTGTATATTTCCTTAGAGAACAAAGTGTAAAATTATTATTAGATATGGAAACAAAAACTAATAAACATTAATAGCACATAAAATGAAAACATACTTCTCAGTTGCATTACGGGAAAATTCAATTCGAAAATCAGAGTTATTGCAAAATAATTGTAGAGGACGTTTGGTTAATAAATCTACAGATGTAACCATCTCTAGTTCAGTTACAATATTGGTAATTTCTGTCTCAGAGAGGGCATGACTGATCATTGATGCTAGTTCACTATCACTATCCATTTCATCATAATAGATATAGTCACCAAGTTTTCTAAACTGGCAGTTGTCAAAATAAGATAATATTGTCAATTATAAATAGATTAAGAACAGCTAATATGAAAATCAGGGTCATACTTTTCCCAAGTCCGAGTAGCTAGCCACAGGAAGCTTTGCAAGAAGAGGTGCATTAATGAGGTCCAGCAACTGTCCAGCATGAGTTGGCAGAGTATCAAATGGTTGAATAAGGTTTTCACATAGAAACTTAGTCTTGTCAGGCACTATTGTTCAAATTATTAAAAAACTGGGGACTATCAACATTAACATACAAATCTCAGTAGAGTAAAATGTTAAAAAGTACAATACCGATGCACAGTCTTTTTGGAAAATGTTCGATTTCTGCAAGTGAAACAACATTCAAGAATGTTGAAATTGCAAGAGTAGACAGGAAAAATAACATGCATGAGTCATGAAGAGATGCAAGAAAAAAAATACCAGTTAAACTTGTAAACAGTATACCAAACAGATAAATAAATAAACGAAATGGGATGAATGGAAAATAATTTTATGTGATCTTTACCTGGTTTTTTTTCTAAATCTTTCAACTTTTGCTTCAGCATATTAACTTCTCTCTCCAACTCTCCCGCTCTTTTCTTCCACTAAAAAGGATGATTATTTGTGCAGAGAATAATTGTATATAAAAATTATTTTATGTTGAATTAGTATTTACAATATTGAACACTAAATAATAATTTATTGAAATGAATACCCTCTCGTTTTCATTTTCTTTATTTTCACTAATAAAAAAAAAAGTTTATAATTAACTAAAGTGATGATGCGTGGCAACGATTGCAATAACTACCAATCTTTATATATAAACTAGAGTGACGACGGGTGGCGGACGATAACCACCACCACCATATTTAAAACACTTACTTTCTAATGATGCCGGTTGTTTCTTGTCTGGTTCTTTTTTTTTCAGTAATATTATTACGCGGCATGATTAAAGTTGGGAAAAAAATCAATTAAAGAAATTTAGTTGGCAATTTTTCTTTCCAGTAGTTGATTTTGTCAATAATTTCAGTGATTTTCTCGTTTTGAACAGTTGTAAAATTAGTTGTCAAAACTTTAGATTTTTCTTGATTTGAAATAAAAAAAATTTAAAAGTTTGTGTGATTGACAGCATAGTGGAAGTTTGTTGTTACACGAAATGTTATACAGAATTCATTGCTCCTGAAACTTCACCAGTATATATAGTTGTTACCTCTCTAAATTGGAGATCAAGTTCAGATCCAATTCAAATCCAATTCATCACTTACTTTTTATTGCCAGAATGTTTGCCGTGTATTGTAAAACTACGTTGCA